CTCCACATCCTCACCAGCAGCTGTAATCTCCTGTCTTTTTGATAATAGCCATTCTAACAGGTGTAAGGTGGTATCCCATTGTGGTTTTGATTTGCATTTCCTTGGTGATGGGTGAAGTTGAACACTTTTTCACATACTGTTGGCCATTCTAATGTCTTCTTTGGAAACAAGTCTATTCATGTCCTTTGCCCATTTTAAAATCAGGTAGTTGTTTTGCTATTGGTATATATCTATGTGTATATAATTTTATATTTTAACCCCTTATCAGGTAGATGATTTGCAAATATTTTCTCCCATTCTGTAGGTTTTCTTTTTATTTTGTGGATTCTTTGGCTGTATAGAAGCTTTTTAGTGTGATGTAACCCTAGTTGTTTATTTTTGCTTTTATTGCCTGTGCTTCAGGAGTCATATCTAAAAAATTATTGCCAGGACTGATGTCAAGGAGGTTTTCCCTGTGTTATCTTCTAGGAGTTTTACTGTTTCAGGTATTAATCCACTTCAGGTTAAATTTTGTGAGTGGTGTAAAATAGGGGCTCAATGTCTTTCTTTTGCCTGTGAATATCTAGTTTCCCCGACACTATTTATTGAATAAGCTATCCTTTTCCCAATGACTATTCTTGGATCCCTTTTCAAATATTAGTGGACCATATATATTTGGGTTTATTTCTGGGCTTTGGATTCTGTTCCATTGGTCTATGTATCTGTTTTTATTCCTGTACCCTTTTGATTACTATAGCTTTGTACTACAGTTTGTAATCAGGAAGTGTGATGCCTCCACCTTTGTTCGTTCTTAAGATTGTTTTGGCTTTTGTAGTTCCATATGAATTCTAGGATTGTTTGCTTTGTTTCTGTAAACAATGCCATTTAGCAGGGATTGTGCTGAATCTGTAGATCTCTTTGGGTAGTATGGACATTTTAACAATATTAATTTTTCCAATCCAAGAACATGGAATATTTTTTATTTATTAGTGTTTTCTTCAATTTCTTTCATCAATGTGTTAGAGTTTTCATTGTACAGGCCTTTTACCTTCTTGGTTAAATTTATTCATACATATTTTATTTTGTTAATGCTATTATAAAAGGGAATTTTAAAATATTTTATTTTAAGATAATTGTTAGTGTGTAGAAATGCAACTGATTTTTGTATGTTGACTTTGTATCCTGCAACTTTGCTAAATTCTTCTTTAGTTTTAAGTTTTTTTGTGAGGTCTTTAGAATTTTCTCTACATAAGATCATATCATCTGCAAACCAAGACAATTTTCATTATATTTAATATTTTTTCCCTCTACCTTCTGGAGTAATTCTTCCTATTAATACATTTATTATATAAGCATGAGAAGTATACATGTAATCCAGATATTGGCTATCTTTGAACTCAAAAAGGCTGACACTTTTATGAACCATTACCAACCGTAGTGAAAATTTCAGTTCTTTTATTAGAATAACTAGAGGCCTCGTGCACGAAATTCATGCATGGGGCGGGGTGGGGGGGCGGGAGAAGGGGTCCCTCAGCCCAGCCTGCACTCTCTCGCAGTCCAGAAGCCCTCTGGGGATGTCCGACTGACAGCTTAGGCAGTCCATCCTTTGCGCTGCCTCAGAGGCAGGAGGCTCCCACCACCACCACTGCACTCACCAGTCATGAGCCCTGCTTCTGGCTGAGGGGCGCTCCCCCTGTGGGAGCACACTGACCACCAGGGGACAGCTTCTGTGTTGAGTGCATTATATAGGATTCCCAGTATACCTGTGTCTTCTTCCAATTCTTTTCAGCTACCAGGTCCCTTCTTTCTTTTAATCTGCCCCAGTCATCATCCAGCCCACTTCTCTTCTGCCCTTTCCTCCTTTATAATACAGAATAGCCCTCCCTGCCCCCCAGTTCATGGTTACTCCTCTCTGTTGTACTTTACACACTTGCTTCAAAGAAAACTCCAGCCTGAATTACACTTCTACTATACCAGTGGTCGGCAAACTCATTAGTCAACAGAGCCAAATATCAACAGTACAACGATTGAAATTTCTTTTGAGAGCCAAATTTTTTAAACTTAAACTATATAGGTAGGTACATTATTATTAACTTAATTAGGGTACTCCTAAGGCTTAGGAAGAGCCACACTGAAGGGGCCAAAGAGCCACATGTGGCTCGCGAGCCGCAGTTTGCCGACCACAGTACTATACCAAAGCATGAACTAACAAAACCAGTCTCTCCCTGTAGAGCAGTGGTTCTTAAACTGGGAGTGATTTTTGCCCTCCACCCCCGACATGTCTGAGCACATATTTGTTTGTCACATTTATAGAAGTGCTACCAGCATCTAGTGAGTGGAGGCCTGGGATTATGCTACACATCCCTCAATGCACAAGACAATTTTCCATAACAAAAAATTATCTGGCCCCAATTGATAATGGTTTATCAACTTCTGTTAAGAAACCCTGCTAAAAAGAAATTCTCGTATTAGCTGCAGTAGACAATGATATTTTTTAACTTTGTTATTATCAATGTTTTCTTACTTCTCTGCATTGAATTATAAGTTTTGTATACTCACACACTCCAGTCAATAAATAATTGCTGAACATCAGTTATGTGTCAGGCACTGAACCAGGCACTCCTAAGTCGCTCATGGTTCAAGGAGGAAGACAGATGATCTTATACCTTGTGAAAGGGGCTATAACTGCATAAAGGAGAGATACCTAATCTAGCCCACGATGATCTGTAAGATTTCTTTGAAGCATTCTGAGAAGAGGCCCGAGTTGAACATGGAAGAATACACATGAGAAAGCCAGATAAAGAAAGGAAGAGAAGCACATTTCCTACAAAGGGAAAATCATGTGTCAAGGTACATGGTTAGAGGAGTGGACTGCTGGCAACCATCAGCTAGTCCTGACAGGCACCGTGAGCCGTGAATGAGGAGTAAATTTTGGGGGGATGTGTTGGTAGCATGGTAAGATTTACATTTTAGAAAGGTCATATGATTTCTGAAATCAAGGTGAGAGCTAATGAGGGCCTTAACTAAGGCAGATGAAATAGGGATGGGGAAGAAGGGCCAATTGGAGAGATATTTAGGAGATAAAAGTGGACAGAACTAGAAATAGGTGGATATGGGAATGAGAGATGAGGAAGTCCAGCATGACTCCCCAATTTCAGGTGTAGTACCATTTACTAAATCAGGGAAGAGGGTGAAGTTGGTAGGACAAGATAGAAATCAAATTTGGACATATCTTTGTGTCATACAAAATTTTTTCATTTATAAAAGCAATATACATGTCTTTTGCAAAGAAAATAAAACAAAACAACCCCCCCCACCAAAAAAACAACAACAAAAAACCCCACTTGTTAGAGAAGTACAAAATCTGCATTTGGAAATAGCCACTACAAAATTTGGGTGAAGTTTTCCCCCCAATTTGTTCTATGTAGAAAATTATGCATTTTAAAAATACAGTAATAAATTAGGGTGCTTTATACACTTTTTTTCCCAATATATTTGAAACATCTCCTGGTGTCATTGAATATTGTTTTATTATTTATCTATTTATTATTATTTTTTAATCCTCACCAGAGGACACTTTTTCCCACTGATTTTTAGAGAGAGTAGAAGGGAGGGGGGGATCCGGCAGAGAGAGAGAGAGAGAGAGAGAGAGAGAGAAATGTCGATTGGTTGCCTCCCATACTTGCCCCAAGCCAGTTGGGATTGAACCTGCAACCCAGGTACCTACCCTTGAATGGGAATGGAACCAGTGATCCTTCAGTGCTCTTACCACTGAGCAACACTGGCCAGGGCTATTGTTTTATATTTTTAATGACTGCACAGTTTTTTTTACCTTATGGAAAAACCATAACTTACTCCACCATCCCTATTGTTGGAGGTTTAGATTGCTTTGGGATTCTTATTTGTAATAAATCCTGCTTGATGCCATCACTGATGAGTCCTCCAGAGACAGCATATGGTATTTGAAGTGTTAGGTATTTATTAAGGATCAATCCCAGTGGACTGGAGAGGGAGGAAGCAGAAATGGGCTAGGAAGAAGTTGAACTGTGACACAGGCCTATAGCCTTCACAGAAGCCATCTCTATGGAGAGGGCCCATCACAGTTGTCCTGCTTCGGGTGGGAATGTCTTTTATGTCACTCAGTCACCGCATGGGGGCTGCTCTGGGGCTGTGCGGCTGTGCTCTGCAGCTGAGGCAGACCTCACAGGTGCTGACAGATAGAGGCTGTCTGCTGACCACGCTCCTCCTATAAAGGGAGGTTTAGCTATTGCATCTCAATGCCCAAACCACAGATGTTCATTCTGTACATATATCTTTGTTCATAGCCTTAGGATAAATTCCCAGAAGTGAAATTGCTGCAATAGAGCATGGGCTTTTAAAACCTTTTTTTTTTTCTTAAATATATTTTTATTGATTTCACAGAGGAAGAAAGAGGTAGAGAGAGATAGAAACATTAATGGTGAGAGAGAATCATTGATTGGCTGCCTCCTGCATGACGGGCGCTTTAAAAAACTTTTAATATGTATTGCCAAATTACCTTAGAGAAAGATTGTAATGCCCAGCCGGCGTGGCGTGGTTCAGTGGTTGAGTGTTGACCCATGAACCCAGGAGGTTCCATTCCTAGTCAGGGCACATGCCCGGGTTGCTGGCTCGACTCCTAGTAGGGGCCGTGCAGGAGGCAGCTGATCAATGATTCTGTCTCATCATTGATGTTTCTATCTCTCTCTCCCTCTCCTTTCTTCTCTCTGAAATATATATATGTGTGTGTGTGTGTGTGTGTGTTGTACCACTTTCTCCCACCAACAGCTCATTTCATCACTGATGGATAAGAACATGACAACTGTACTGTTTTTATTTTTATTTTTTTCAATCTTTAATTTCTTTATTGATTAAGGTATTACATATGTGACCTCATATGTACTGTTTTTAAATGTTGAAAAATACCTTAAATTTCTTTGGAAAATAAATGATATTCTTCATGTTTCATTATTGTGAATTTTATTTTAAACTTCCAAGGCAGGTTACCTTTCTCTATAGGTCTCTATATACAAGTTTCCAGAAGGATAAAACCCTCTAATGATTGATGTTAGGAGGCAAAGAATTGGATTTGGATCTTCGGAGTTGCAAGCTTTCAAACCAGGGAGAGGAATGGCTCGTGTCTGAGCTGACTTGAAACAGAATCTGCAGTACCTTGCAGCTCTTTCCATGTGAGTATCTGAGAAAACAAAAGAAATTCCCACTTATTAGGAAAAATCCATATTTGACACATTACTATTAGAGAGAGAGAGAGAGACTAATGGGAAATAACCATCATTTCTTGAGAGTCTATTCCATAGCAGCAATTCCCTGAGCTTTTACAGATACCGTGATATTTAATTCTCATAAGAACCCGTTGAAGTAGATATTATTTCCCACATTTTTCAGATGAGGAAACTAAAGCTCAGAGAGTTGGTAACTTGGTAACCTTAGTCAGTCAGACTCCCAAGCCCGTGCACTTCCTATGGTTCTGGGTTGCTGTCCCCAAAGCTATCAATCAAGTCACAGAGCAGCAGCTTTAAACAGTATAATATACCTGTATAGTGGCTGTCACAACAACGCTCATGAAGATTGAGGAATGTCTGTCTTTCTACTAGACTGGAAGTACATAAAGTTCAGTGTCTAAATTTTTAAAAAAAATTTTATATCACTTATGACATCTAGCCCTTTACATATATAAAGTGGTCACTAAATATTTAACAGAATAGATGTTGAATAGCCAGAAAGAGAAACATATTTTCTGTTATCCTTTCATTCTCATTTTTGCTTTGGTCTGATCACAGTATAGCCAGGAGGCAAAGAGATGGCCCAGTCAATGGCCTCCCACTTCAGCAAGAACAATTCTCAGCTCTTCCCAAAAAAATCCATTGATTACAGAGTGCCAATGAAAAAATGGTTGAACAAAATAAACAAAAATAAACCTACAAATAAAAATCATCCTCAGGAAGTCACCCTAAAAATAAACCTACAAATAAAAGCTATCCTCAAGAAGTCACCCCAAAAATAAACCTACAAATAAAAATCATTCTCAAGAAGTCACCCCAGCCCTAACCGGTTTGGCTCAGTGGATAGAGCATCAGCCTGCGGACTCAAGGGTCCCAGGTTCGATTCTGGTCAAGGGCTTGTACCTTAATTGCGGGCACATCCCCAGAAGGGAGTGTGCAGGAGGCAGCTGATCGATGTTTCTCTCTCATCGATGTTTCTAACTCTCTATCCCTCTCCCTTCCTCTCTGCAAAAAAATCAATGAAATATATTAAAAAAAATAAAATTAACCCAGAATTTATGTAACTTATTAAAAAAAAAGTCACCCCAAACAGGAACAATGTGGGTGAAATCTTTATTCAGAAGAGTAAATAGGTTGTAATCCAGTCTTTAGAGCAGTGGTTCTCAACCTTCCTAATGCCGAGACCCTTTAATACAGTTCCTCATGTTGTGGTGACCCCCAATTTCATTGTTACAAATTAAACATAATTAAAGCATAGTGATTAATCACAAAACAATATGTAATTATATATGTGGTTTCTGATGGTCTGAGGTGACCCCTGTGAAAGGGTCGTTCGACCCACAAAGGGGTTGCGACCCACAGGTTGAGAACCGCTGCTTTACAGCTAACTTCCAGGTAACAGGAAATACAGAGGAAATAGAATTATGTTGAAGACACCACAAAGACACCATAACATAAATCCAGAAGGCTACCTCTGTTTCTTTTATAAGACAACATCATTCTAAAAATAGATGGTAGGGAGATGGGGGAGGCTAGTCTGGGTTAAAAAAAGATGTAACCAAATGCAATGTGTGGTCATTGTTTGGAGCCTGGTCTGACTTAGTCAGCTGTTAAAGACATATTGGGATCAGCAGGGGGAATCTGAGTCTGGATTGGCTATAAATTGTAAAACCGAGGGTCCGTATGAGTTTGATTAACTTTAAATCCTAACGCTAGAAATCATCTCTCTGTCTCCCTTTCTCTTTCCTCTCCTTCCCCTTCTTCAGAGACCTAGCCTTCCCCCAGATAATCAGTGACCCTCCAGGCAGCAGAAGACAGCAGCTGGGACCCGACCAAAGGTCCAAAGGTCTGGACCTCTGCCAGGCTAAAGGCAACATCCTTAGGTTTCACTTCCTAAGCTGGAACCACCATTCTGCCTACTTTCCCATGAGACCTGGAAACAGACCTCAGAGCTGTCCTCCAGGCCTGAAGAAATAATTCATTACCTTTACCTCACCTCACACCAATCAGCTCCCCACACAATGGAACCCCCACAACCCATGGTGTGTTGTGGTTTTGCCCTATATAATCTGTAACCTACACTCCATCGGGCTTTTGAGCATTAGCTTCCCTTTCTCTTGAAGGCGCCATTCATAACAAAATAGCCAACAGTGCCTGACTGGTGTGGCTCAGTGGTTGAGCATAGACCCATGAACCAAGAGGTTGCTGGTTTGATTTCAATCAGGGTACATGGCCAGGTTTTGGGCTTGATCCCCAGTAGGGGGCTGGAAGGACTCAGCTGATCCATGTTTCTACCTCTCTCTCCCTTCCTCTCTCTCTAAAAATCAATAAAAGCATATTTTTTAAAAAGCTAACATTTCTCCACTTCAATTCTTAGTGTCTAGTGTTTGGCTCAGCTAGTGCAGGTGGACACTTTCTGTTCTATAACAATTGATACTAGGTGATTATTTTTAGCTTTAGTTAATTGTGAAAATGGTAATATGGTTATGTAGAAAGTGTTCTTTTAAAATTGAGATGTATATTGTAATATTGAGGAGTGAAATATCACAATATCTTTACTTTAAAACTTCAGCATAAAAGGTGATGAATAAGGCAAAGTGTAAACAATCGTTAAATATTTTATGTCGTTTTTTCATCATAAAGAGTAAACAATCAACCAGGAGAAAGAAAAAAGGGTTTAAAAGAGGAAGAATCCATTCTTACATTGCTCCAAGGTTGCTGCCATTAACCTGTGGTTGCTGCCATTACCGGGTTTCAGTAGCATCTGAGTGCGGTCCCACGGGAGTCCAGACAGGTGAGCAGGCTCCTTTAGGATCTGATTTGTGTGTGAAAAGAACCCACGTGAGCCAACCCCCCAGCACTGTGCACCTACCCAGGGCCGCTGGGGATACGTCACCTCATGGCCCCTGAGTGTACCCAAACCACCACGGGTGGACGGACGGACGCTCAGGGTGAGGGCGGTCCTAGGATCTGAACCGGACGGAGTGGGCAAGGGGCGGGAGAAACGCCGGATCCCCCCACTCCAACCCGCTGCGCGCGGGCAGGTAGCCCCCTCACCCACCTGGAAGCAGGGCTGAGCGCGCTAGGCTGGGGGAAATGGGCGGCGTGTGCCCAGGCCACTACCCTCACCTGCCGCCAGGAGGGCCTGGGAAGCTTGGGGTGGGGACCACCGCGCACCTGGCCGCGGG